CAGGTGTCAGAAAAACGCTTCTCGATGGCATCAGTAGCAGTCATATTCAAGAGATACGTGAGCCCAAAAGTCATAGTTTTCGTTTTGTATAAACGACAACTGTTATTACCAGATTATTCTGTAGTGAAATTGTAGAATTCTTAAGAAAATCAGAAAATTCTGCTGTTCAAACAGTTTCATCTGGTACACTGTACGTCTATATAAAACTTGCTCTTGTATTTCAATGTTTCAAACTGAATATTTGATAACGAAGAATTTCCCAGACCGACCGTTTATCAAGTAAACTTTCTTAACTTAACAACGTTTAATAAACATAATAAAAGCATCAGTTATGTCACATAAATGTTTTGGTAAACTTGGAAATAAAATAGAAAGGTGAACAAGATCTAGTTGAAAACCAGACTACTGTAATGTATAAATTTTCATTAGTAAAAAGACGTTTCAGGTCTATGTTTAAAATTGAGATAAAATTGAATATTTTTCAGGAAGTTTTTTGTGACAAAAGAATAACCAAATGCATTAGAGCTTTTTCGTGGAATTGTTGTAACCGTTTTCTAACGTAACTTTTTTACTATTTGTATTACATCTACTTATCACGTCAGTCGAATAGAGAGTTTAAGCGTCTGTCTGGTATTGTCATATTTGAAGGTTCTGAATGATACTTTATTGTAAAAAAGAAATTCATGCTGGTTTTAGTTTCTGATATCATTTTAAATTGTGTTTGGTTACTTTTGTTTTTTTGTTTCAAAAAACTGCTTTCCTCTTTGTTGTGGTCACATTTGTCAGTAAAAGTGAAAAACAATTTCATATTTGCTCTTATTTCTTTTAAGGGTTTGGCTTCAAAGACCCTAGAAAATTATTAGATGATCATTAATCATTGCAGATATGATGAGCTGTCAAACGGCACCATTATTCTTCTTATGTTTCGCAAACAAAAAAAAAAAAGTCAAAATAAATTCAAAAATGTTATGTGATACTATTTTTGCAGCTAGCCTTAATCTGAAGAACAGTAAGTGCACTATACACTAGCTATATCAAAACTGTAAAGGTCGAGTAAGTGTTGTAGTTGAAAATAATGAAATAGTTACAGTTGACTATTTCAATTTGCTGTTATTGATGGTCTGTGAATGAGCGACTGGTTGACTTAAATATAAATATAGTCTGTTTTTGGACTTCTGTTCGCATTATGTCGATAGATGTTCTGTTGATTTATTTATTTGTTTATTTATTTATATTATTCCATCTACCAGAAAAATCGTTCCTCGAAACAGCACACTGTATTTTGTAGAAAGAAAAGATAAATTAATTCTTTTTTTTTTTT